TTAAATCTATCACAGGGAGTGCCTGAGATATTTTCTTTTATACTAGGGGACACTGAGACACTAGGAGACTTGGGGACAGGCCCGGACTGGCCATCGGGCATACCGGGCAAATGCCCGGTGGGCCGCGATGGCCGTGGGGCCGAGGCCGGCAGGGAGATCACAGGATCTCCCCTGCCAGCCCGTGCAGGGCCAGCGCTATCCGAGTGCCGGCCCTGCATAGTGCCTCCATGGGCCGGCCGGGGAGATCAGAGATCTCCCTCACCGGCCCAGAGGCATGGAGATGCGGCCGCCGGCTGGGTGAGGGAGGGAGGAAGGACCCGGCGGAGCTCTAACAAGCAGCTCCGCCGGGTCCTCTCGCGGGATTCTGAGCGTTGCCGCGGCAACGCTCAGCTCTCGCGAGAGTGAACTCTAACCCGCAGGTTAGAGTTCACTCTCACCACTGGACCACCAGGGAAGCATGCGAGAACGGATCTCCTCCCCCCCTCCCAGGATAAAGGTAAAAAGGGAGGGGAGGGGGAAACACATAACTTTTTTTTATTTTTTATATTAATAAATAAAAAAAAATTATTTAAAATAAATTCCCTAATAGCCCCCTCACACACACAGCACACCCCAGACACCCACAGCACACCCCAGACACCCACAGCACACCCCAGACACCCACACAGCACCCCCCAGACACCCACACAGCACCCCCCAGACACCCACAGCACGCCCCAGACACCCACAGCACCCCCCAGACACAGACACACACACACCACCCCAGACACACACAGCACCCCCAGACACCACACAGCACCCCCAGACACACACACACACCACCCCCAGACACACACACACACCACCCCCAGACACACACACACACAGCACCCCCAGACACACACAGCACCCCCAGACAGACACACACAGCACACCCCAGACACCCACAGCACACACCAGACACCCACAGCACCCCCCAGACACCCACAGCACCCCCCAGACACAAACAGCACCCCCAGACACCCACAGCACCCCCCAGACACACACAGCACCCCCCAGACACACACAGCACCCCTGACACACACAGCACCCTCAGACGCAGACAGCACCCTCACTACCACACACACATATATATATATATATATATATATATATATAAATAAAATAACCCTCAGTGAGTTAACAGACAAAGAAAATTAGAAACCTAGAATGGGACGGCAGATAAAAACACCCTCACACACAGCACCCCTCTTACACAAACACACTGCGCACCTCACACATACAATACGTCCAAATATATTCTAAATATATATACACACACACTACAGCACCCCTCACACTGCACCACTACACACATAACGCTCCAGATACACGCTAGATCCCTTACCCTATATGCACTCTTAATCCTCTACACACACACACACACACACACACACACACAATCTTCTATACACACTGGGTCCTTTACACACACACACTACATTCCTTGTAAGCAAACACATGCAACATTCTCTAAACACACCCTCTCTACAACCCCTACACACGCTACGTCACCTATACACACACACTACTGCCCGTATGTACACACTCGCTACATCCCCTATAACACTATGCCCCTATACACGCACTCTCTACAACCCCTAGCCACATATTACACCACAAAATTGACCTATTTACACAATACCACACCACACTCTACACACAGGCAATCCCACAAGCATGCGCCAAACACATGCACCATACACTTTCCTGGCCCTTTTGTCCTCTGGTATCCCACTTGTGGAGACACCAGAGACAATTTAAAAGCAAACACAGCGCAAGCATGTTATTACATTTGCTTGCGCTGCGCAGAACAAATTCAGGGCCTTTTTCTAATGCTAGAGCTCTTCAGCGGGGCTCTGCGCATTGAACCAACATGCTCACTTTGAGAGGGGGCGTGTTGTCATTAGTGATGACAAAACACACCCTCTCTGGCCCCACCCCCTTCTTGGGGGGCCGCTCTAATTGAAAAATGCCCGGGCCTAATTTTTTTCCCAGTCCGGCCCTGCTTGGGGACACTGGAAGACATTGGGGCACAGAGACACTGGGAGACTAGGGGACTTTGGGAGACTAGAAAACACTCAGACACTAGGGACACTGGCACATTACGGACACTGAGAGACACCAGGAGACATGGTGATACTGAGATACGAGGGACACTGCTGGGAGACATGGGGACACTGGGAGTGCCCCATGTCTCCCACGTCTCAAAGTCGCCCAGTGTCCCCATGTCTTCCTGTGTCCCCCAGTGTCTCCATGTCTCTCAGTGTCACCTAGTGTCTCAGAGTCCCCATGTCGCCCAGTGTCCCAATATCTCAGCGTCCCCAAGTCTCTCACCATCCCCATGTCTCGCAGGCTTGGAGATGCTGTCTGGGCTCTGTGCAGAGCTGCTCCCCCTGCGGATCAGTGAGTAGTGAGAGGCAGGGAGGGAGATGCTGTAACTTCTTATCTCTGCCTCTCTTCACACAAACAGCGACCCCTACTGGTCGGCGCTGGTATTGCAGAATAATCTCTGTTTATACTGAGACAGACATTTGTATTGCCGGTATTAATGCAATACCAGCACCGGCTAGGCAGCCTCAAATACCGGAGAAATACTTCTGAGAAATATCTGTCAACCCTAAGAAATACCTGAGAAATACCTTGCAACCCTAAGAGTAGTGTGTAAAATATATATATATATATTTTTATTTTTTTTTTATTTAATTTTAGTTTTTTTGTTAAATCAATGGGCCTATTTTATGGGTCTGGGCCTGGAGCTGCAGCTCCATCAGCCCCTATGTTAATCCGGCCCTGGCTGGGAAGTCTTCATCCGAAAAAATAGAGATCTGATTAACAGAAAGATCAACATTGTTCAAAGGTAATGATTTCCGCTGTTTATCAGATCCAGTGGATAATGCTTTCGGAGAATAGAACGTACTGATTTGTTTATTTTTATCAGTGTTTGCAGGTTTCTGCTTCTTTGGGGCCATGTTGTTATGGTTCTATAATTCTTTGCCAATTTATACTTAATTTGGGCTATCAGCCACAAATAGGTCAGCTGAATTTAACCAAGAACTTAGAGCAGCTATTTAAATTCACCGCTTAAAAATCTTACTATCTCACCACTCTGTGTGCTAAGGATATAATAGCATTAATGACAGAGTAAGAGTACCAGAATAAGTGCCTGGAATTTATGGCTTGAGTCTTTGTATTTCACAAAGTGTGACTCAGATTCAGGGGACTGTCTGGCTGCTTTCTTTCTTTGCTATTTAACATAGACAGCTAGCTGAGCCCAATATTCCATCTGATACGTTTGCATGTGTCACTTAATTACTGGAAAGAAAAATCTATCTTTGGCATATAGCTAACATTTGACTCCAAGTCGTAGTTTGCTTAATTCACTCAGTTATCAGTACACTTTCAAAATAAACAAAGCAATAAAAAAAAAAGTTTTAGAAGTTTAAATTTAGCTGCCTTTATACTCACAGACCTACCGACCTTTAAGTAGATAATTGCCTGATGATTAACTGCAGGGAAGCTGCCTCACAGTCAGGAGGACTTGCTTCTGCCTTCACAGTAACTGAATAGTGTTCTCAGGGGACCCCTTCCAAAAGCTAAGAGTTTCCAAGGGCTGTCTCACAGACCTACACCTCAATCCAGACCACAGTCTGCAGAGTCTTGTTGTGCTGCCTGTCAGTATGGCCTCACCTCGCTCTCTGAGTGGTGGGCAATGCAAGGTACCGTTAGAGAGCAGACCGTTTGTAGAGGGTGCAGGGCAAATTTAAAACTCAAAGTCCACTCAGCATCGGGAAAGGAACCTCAGGTACCGACTGGAACTCCGTCACACACTTGTTTCTCTCAAAGCATTAGGTTCAATCATCGCGTTCCATTCCCCCATCATTGCAAGGTAACAGTAGCGCGCGAGCGTAAGTGCTAGGGGTAGGGTTAGGGGTAGGGAAGTGACGAAGTGCCGAATTGCCGAACTGCCAAATTCCCAAACCAAAGTGCCGAATTGCTGAAGTCCTGAATTTCGGAAGTCCCGAACCGAATTCTTTGCCCATGCATATCCCTATTGATGCGTATAGTTTTTATCAAAAATTTATTGATTGTCTGCAATAAGCAACGTTAGATTTCCAAACTATTAAGCCCCAATACTGCTGTAAGAAAGTCAGTGCTCCATCAGCTGATTTTCACAGTGAGCAAGCGTCCATAGGAAAGCATTATAAATGCTTTCCTATGTGACCGACTGAATGCGTGCGCAGCTCTTGCCGCGCGTGCACATTCAGCCGACGGGGAGGAGAGAAGGAGGATCGGAGGAGGAGAGCTCTCCGCCCAGCGCTGGAAAAAGGTAAGTTTTACCCCTTTTCCCCTTTCCAGAGCCGGGCGGGAGGGGGTCCCTGAGGGTGGGGGCACCCTCAGGGCACTACAGTGCCAGGAAAACGAGTATGTTTTCCTGGCACTATAGTGGTCCTTTAACCATTAAAAAGTAATATTTACCCTACCTTTCCCTGCTCTTGATATTCCAATTATTTCCAATTTACTTTTTCCCAGTTTAGTTTATGATCCGTCTTCTCCTCCTCTTTATTTCCTCCTTCTCCCTCAGTATAAAAATCTCTCATTACACCCACTTCACTCATCTCCCCATTCACATTTACATATGCCCCTCTCGGCAACACTCCAGACATCTCTCATCTCATGCCTTGCACTAATTTTTATACTCTCTCACTCCTACCCACAATCGATCTCATCCTAGACCCCATGCATTCAAAACCCATTTACACCTCCTGTCACTTTCTCTCCTCCTGCTTCTAGCAGCTGATGATGTCTCTCCCAATCCAGGGCCCTTCACCTTCTCTACACACTAAGAAAACCAGAAACCCCATAAACCTCGTCACAATACCCTGCCATTTACCCTCAGTGTGCACTCTGGAACACCCGCTCTGTCTGCAGTAATTTAAAATCAAGAGCCATACATGACTTTTTCATCTCAAACTCACTCACACTACTTGCAGAGGGAGTGAGGTAGGGGAAGTATTGTAAGGGGAAGAAGAAAGATGAAGAGATCTCTCATCTTTCTTCTTCCCCTTACAATACTTCCCCTAACCTCACTCCCTCTGCTGTTCTATGTTCATTCGCACCCGCTACAGCGGAAGAGGTTTCTGCTGTGCTCCAGTCCTCACGACTCACCACCAGCTCCCTAGATCCGATTCCCTCGCATCTCATCCGTACTCTGTCTTCTTTTCTTTCTCTACCTCTCACTAAAATTTCCAATCTCTCCTCTGGCATATTTCCATCACCCTTCAAACATGCAACTATGACCCCAATTCTAAAGAAGCCCAAACCTTGACCCTAACGGGGGTCCATCTACCGTTCTGTCTTGTTACTGCCCTTTTCGTCCAAGATCCTTGAAAGAGTTGTGTATGTGAGATTGACAGACTTCCTCAAGTCGAACTCTCTGCAAGACTGTCTTTAGTCTGGTTTCCGCGCTAAGCACACCAAAGTGATCTAAACGCTGCAAAATCTCATGGTCAATACTCCATGTCACGGCTCCCGGCCCAAGCGGCACGACCATGCCAGCATGCTGAGCTTACCTGCTCAGCGGCGAGCCGGGAACCGCTCCTCCATGCCGCTCAGGAAAAACCAAGATGGCGCCGACCATGCAGTCGCATCCATCAATGGCCCCGCCCCCCAAAATTATACGAATGTGTGCGTGATGTCACGACGTCAATGCACGCGCACGTTCTGGGGTCAGAGGTCACCCTCTGACCAATCAGAGCCTAGAGAGGGATATTTAAATCCCTTATTCACCCCAGTACCTTGCCCTGTCTTGGTTCCCGAGAGTGCGCTTATCCTTGTGATTTCTGATATTCTGGTATTTTGACCGATTTCTGGTTTCCCTGACTTGGCTTGTTTAAACGGTATTTGTGTATTTCTGGCTTCCTTGACCATGGCTTTCCCTTTGATCATTCTCTGTCTCTAACATATTAGTCCAGCCATTCTAAGGACCGGTTTACGTTCTAGCCTTTTATTTCCTTTTCATTTTCTATGTATATGTTTACATAGTTTCTGCGTGTTGGACCACACTAGCAGTCGTGACACTCTATCCTAATTCTCCTTGACCTTTCTGTGGCTTTTGACACTGTTGATCATCAACAGCTTCTGCTCATCCTCCGCAATATGCACATATTGCTCTCTCCTGGTGCTCCTCCTACCTTTCCCAGCGCTCTTTCAGTGTTTCTTTCTCTGGCTCTGCTTCTTCTCCCCAACTCCCCTCTGTTGGTGTCCCCCAAGTTTCAGTCCTTGGTCCCCTACTGTTCTCCATCTACACTGCCTTCCTTGGTAAACTCATTAGCTCATTGCCTTCCAATATCATGTCTATGCAGATGACACGCAAACCTATCTGTCCTCTCCTGATCTCTCCTCGTCCCTCTTGACTAATATCTCTGACTGTCTCTCTGCTATTTCTAACTGGATGGCTGCCCACTTCGTTAAACTCAAGTTGACCAAAACTAAAATTCTGGTCTTTCCTCTCTCAAGTGTTGCTACTCCTGTGTCTGTCTCCCTCCAAGTCAACGGTGATACTATCAGCTCCACCACACAGGCTCACTGCCTAGGTGTTCTCTTTGACCTCGACCTCTTTTTCACGCCTCATGTTCAGTCTATCGCCAAATCCTGCCACTTCCATCTCAAAAACATTGCACGCATCCGACCCTACTTAACGCCAGATGCGACTAAGGTGCTGGTCCATTCCACTGACCTTTCTCGCCTTGACTACTGTAATCCGCTTCTCAGTGCTCCCAGCTTGCGCCGTTACAGTCCATAATGAATGCGGCGGCGAGGCTCATCTTCCTGTCCGCCCGCACCTCCCACGCCACACCCTTCTGTCAGTCCCTACATTGGCTTCCTGTAAGATATAGGGCTCAATTTAAAATTCTGGTTCTTGCTTTCAAATCTTTACATAATGCTGCTCCCACCTATCCTCCCTAATACACAAGTATGTCATGTCTAGGCCCTTACACTCTGCTGAAGACTTATGTCTATCTTCTGTCCGAACTCCCACCTCTGATGCTCGCCTTTAAGACTTCTCGAAGGCTGCACCGTTCCTGTGGAACTCACTTCCCTCCTCCGTTAGATGCTCACCCAGTCTCCACTCCTTCAAAAAAATCATTAAAAACCTACTTATTCATAAAAGCTTATCAATTAAACTGTTAATACAGCGCTAGGGAATCTAATGCCGCTATATAAATAATAAAATAATTTAAAAAAATAATAATAGCTCTAGACTGATTCCTCTCTTGCAACTGTTATTAGTCTAATACTATCCTTACCTTTTGTGTCACTTTACCCCACTCACACTAGCATGTAAGCTCATTGAGCAGGGCCCTCAACCCTTCTGTTCCTGTGTGTCCAACTTGTCTGGTTACAACTACATGTTTGTTTGTCCACCCACTGTAAAGTACAGCAGAATTTGTTGGCGCTATATAAATAATAACATAATAATAATAGTAATGATACATAATACCACTGGTACCAACCTAGAATTAAAACATAAAACTGAAAACTTTAAGCGAGATAAAAGAAAAGAAGGGATATAAAACACTGCCCTGTGTGAGCCTAGAGGCCTAAAGAAATGTGACAATGAGTATGCTCACCCTATGGTCATTAAACAATACTGCCTTTCCAGCGGCCCTTTAGTGCACTAGTTTCCATAACGCACTGCCCCAGGCTCTGGTACAGTCCAGCACACAGGTAGAAATCGTAACAGAGTCTTGGGATCCCCTCCAATTACCAAGCCAGTTATGTGACTTTCAAGGGTGTGAACGGCGCTCCAGGGATCTTCCCAGTGTGGACTGAGAACCTGGTGGATGTTGGCCAGCCTCCGAGCGGCATCTCCAGTATCGATGTGTCCCCGCTTCTTCCTCCTCCACTGCCTTGCTTTCAATATCACGGTTTTGCGTATCTGAGCTGGCCCCTGGCTGCGAGCCTGTCCAGCAGGTAAGTGTTGTAGCTTGTCATTCTCAGCTTGCCTCACGTTCTGTCATCTTAAAAGGCAGGCCTTGTGTGTTTGGCCCTGTAGGTTTTGCCACTTATCACTGTTATTCGCTTTGTTTTCTTAACTAAATTCAGGAGATCCCCCACTGGTCCGAAGGGAGGGGGTAAAGGGCTACAAGTATCTCGCTGTAAGATGCAAGCCCAGATTCAGGAGATCAGCCGCTCTCCCAGCCACTAGGTCACCCTCTCAACAGGCTTCAGAGTCGGACAAGGTAAGTATACCACAATTCAGGCTTAGTAGGTAGCTGTTACAGCTACATCGGTCTACTGGCTATGCTACCACATGTAGCTGGATTTTAAGTGGTATTTGCTTAATTTTAGCTCAAGTATGAAAGAGCTGCTGAGAAACACATCTGGCCATCTTGGAGCTCAGGCCCCGCCCCCTCAACATGTCCATTTTTTTATTTTAGGAATCATTATACCATTGATATAAATAATGTGTTTGATACAGAATTAGCCAGTACTATCCTCATTAGACATAATAGTTTTAGTCAACAAGAGCCAGAGCCGGACTGGGGATACGAAGCAGCCCTGGAAAAAAATCTATGCCAGCCCCATAAGTCATTGTGCTATGTAGGGTGTTTTTATATTTATATAGGCAATTGAAATAGTTGGCTGCACTCTCGGATTTCCTGAAAATTTAACTTTTATTTAAATATTTAAGAGAAGATCAATGTTTCAGTCCCTCTTGTGGACTTTCGTCATGATCCTGATGCAAGTCCACAAGAGGGACTGAAACGTTGATCTTCTCTTAAATATTTCAATAAAAGTAAAATTTTAAGGAAATCCGAGAGTGCAGCCAACTATTTCAATTGCCTATATATATACTGGATACTGGAGCCCTGGTGATGCAACAGTATATATAGACACACACTTTTTTTTTTTTTATTGATACATTTCTTCTTCTAATTCAAAATATTAGTTCTTTTATGGTAATTAAATTACAGTAAAGCATACTCACACACAGACAGACAATCTAACTGATGCACACAAATAGGCTCATTGACAGACAATTAAACACACAGACAAGGTTACTGGCACACACACAACTTTAGTACAGACAAACTCTGATACACACACAAGCTTACTATAGACAAGCTCACTGTCACACAAACACGCTCACTACAGACAAGCTCACTGATGCGCACACACTCTCCCTACAGACAAGCCCATTGACACACACACTCCCTACAGAAGAGCTCACTAACACACAGATTCACTACAGACAAGCTCACTGACATACACATGCTCACTACAGACAAGCTCACTGACACACATATGGTCACTACAGACAAGCTCACGATCACACTCATGCTTACTACAGACAAGCTCACTGTACACACATGCTCACCACAGACAGACTCCGACACACCCATGCTCTTTACAGACAAGCTCACTAACACACACACATATGATCCCTACAGACAAGCTCACTGACACACATACAAGCTCACTCACTAGCAGGCACACACACACACACACAAACTCACTAGCAGGCACACACACAGAGGCTCCCTCACTAGCAGATGTGCGCACACACACAGAGGCAGACAGTCACTGACACCCAGGCAGACAGCCACACACACACACACAGGCAGACATTCACTGACACTGAGGCAAACACCCACACATACAAAGTCAGGCAGACAGCCACACACATACACAGGCAGACAGCCACACACACACACGCAGGCAGTCACACACAGGCAGACAGTCACGCACACAGACAGCCCACACAGGCAGACAGCCCACACAGGCAGACAGCCACACACAGGCAGACAAACAACACACACAGACAGCCCACACACCCACAGAGACAGCCCACACACCCCACACAACACAACGCAGCCACCGACAATCGAAAACAATCCACACACAAAGACAGGCAGACAGCCACACACACAGGCAGACAGCCCACACAACAGACAGTCACACACAGGCAGACAACAGGCACCACCAACACACAGGCAGACAGTCACACCACAGACAGTCACACACACAGACAGTCACACACCCACAAGACAGCCCACCACACCCCACACAGTCCACAGACAGCACACCCGTAACACAGGA